GCGGTAAATTGTAATAAAAACTGCGGCAAATTGTAATAACTTAAACTGCGGCAAATTGTAATAACCCCTGCGGTAAAATGTAATAAAATACATTTCATAGCCTATTATGCAAGGAAACATTCATGATGCTAAAATGTGAGACTAAGCTTTATAAAAATCCCAACCCGGACCTTGAAAACATCGGCATCTCTGAATCCTTCTACTTTCCAAAGAAGGTCCAATTTACCGCGTTTTTTATTACAATTTACCGCGGTATTACATTTTACCGCGGTGTTATTACAATTTGCCGCAGTTTATTACATTTTACCGCGTTATTACAATTTACGTCGTAACACACCCTGCATTGATCCAGGCATGTAGCGACCTCGTCATGACTTTATTTGCGACTGGGACACAGAGATCACTACCATCAGTATGGACCAATACGCGCTGTTAAAAGGGCGTCTTAACTTGATCCATGAAGGCATCTGAAGTTTTCTGAGAGAGACATGTGACATGTGACATGTGACATGGTGGGCATCCCCTTGGTGTCCCCCAAGTAGGCCTCCCCATGGCGCCAGCTGTATTACACTCATTGCTGAAAGACTCTTCATCAACTGTGACTGTTTTTCAAAATTGATACAAGGCAGTGTGGAAGGAAGTTTAAGTTCAGCTTCAGATGGATAACAATCACCTGTATTCCCCTGCTACATTCCCGACAACAGCCAGAACAACGTCTTCTACAACATCCCCAATATCTGCGACGTCTCCTACAACATTGTCAACATCTCTGACAACGTATCCTATAACATTCTCTACAACGTCACCAACAACATCAACAAGATCTGTGGCAACGTTTTAAACAAAATCTCCATCCAAAATTCCTACAACGTCTCTAAGCACATCTTCTACAACATTTCAAAGCCCCATGCTCCCTCTGGGAACGTATGTTGGTGATACTAAAACCATGCTATCAACGACGGATGACGTCAACATGTAAATACATGTTATCATCTCGCATATGTATGGAATCCGAGAAGGGACATTGTCGCTATGACGCATTGTCGCCCTCTCAAAAACAATTAAAGTGAGGCAAAATAAACCAAAACGCGACACGCGACATTTCGCCCATTTGTCGCATTGTCGCGATGTCGCGTGTCGCGTTTTAAATAATATTTTTCCATTCCTCCAAAGGGCGACATGCGACATAGCGACAACGCGACAATGTCCCTTCCAGGATTCCATACATATGCTTAGTTTCGAAAATTCACGCCGTTGGTTGTCACGAACCAGGAATAGCTCAGGTTGGCTTGGGGTTCTGTGATGTATTGCCGCTCCAGTTAAGACAATATTTGACCATATAGATTGATTGTTGAGTTTAGTTTTACGCCGCACTCAGCAATATTCCAGCTATATGGCGGCGGACTGTAAATAATCGAGTCTGGACCAGACAATCCAGTGATCAACAGCATGAGCATCGATCTACGCAAATGGTAACCGATGATATGTGTCAACCAAGTCAGCAATCTTGACCACCCGATCCCGTTAGTCTACTCTTACGACAAGCATGGGTTACTAAAGATTAATATTCTAACCCGGACCTTCACAGGTGTCTAGCTGTATGAGGGCAGTCTGTAACTAGACAATCCAGTGACATCACAATCATCAGTCTACACATTAGGGACATAATACATGATTATTGCCTACACCCATGCTATTCATGGAGTGTGTGCAAGCATGCCCAGTGACATGTTCCTACGATTTCAAGCCTTTTAGTGATGGCTGAAATTGACACATGACGCTACTGTTGCCTTCATATGAACAGTAAGTGAATGTAAATGAAAAGGAACTAGGTGATGCATGCAATGTTGACAGATTAACTTGTTGACATTTTCCCTAATTACCATGATACTGTGATGATTTTATCAACTGTGATGATTTTATCAACTGTAGCCGCCTCTAACGTGAAAGTGAATGAGTGGTGCATGCAATATGGTTAAGTTACACTGTAACTCTATTGACATTTTCCTAGTGACCATGATATTGTGACCATTTTGTCAACAGCAGCTGACTCCAACATGGAGGTGAGGTGAAGTTAAATTGGGTTTAACGTCGTGCTTGAGAATATTTCGCTCATATGACGATGTGCATGCGTGTATATGTGTATGTGTGGCTGCTTGTACTAGCCCAGACTTAAGCTGGTTTTATAGTGCTAGCCCACTGAGATACCATGCCGCAGTGAAGCATGAATACCCCACTCAGACACATTATACTGACTCCGAGCAGACCAGTCCTTGTTGTACCCATTAATGCCGAGCGCCAGGCAGGGACCAACAAGTACCATATTTTAACGTCTTTTGGTATGACGCGGCCGGGGATCGAACCCACGACCTTCCGCTCTCCGTGCGGACGCTCTAACCACTACACCACGGAGGCGGTCTCCAACATGGAAAGGAAATGAGGGATACATGCAATATTGACAGATTAACTTGTAAACTTGTTGACAATTTCCCAGTTACCATGATACTGTTATCAACAGTAGCTGATGGGGCTAAGCAATAAAACCGGTTTACCGGTTCAGGCATGAAAGTGATACGTATTGCGATACGCTGATCGTAAACCGATAGTTTGTCTGGCATTCGGAAAACTTCGTAACACTCGGAAATCTTCGGATATTTCCTTGTTTCATTTGTGCCAAGTGTTATTTACGTTTTTATTTTATCATGATTAAAAGTTGTTATTAAAGCTTAATCAAGCATTTGTTGTGTTTTTGCTCTATAAATCAAGCATTAACTCGATTAAAAGTAGTTTTTTGTTAAAAATACTTCATACAATATATTGCAATACATATTTCAATACATGCTTTCGCATCGCAATGTATCGCAATATGAACATTCTCTGCAATACCCACCCCTACTAGCTGACTGTACATAACATGAAAAGGGGAAGGATGAAGCATACGATATTGACAAGTTAACCTGTAAACCTATTGTCGTACCAGTATTCCCCAATCATCACCATGAGACTGTGGTGATTTTGTCAACAATAGCTGACTCTAACATGAAAAGGGAATGGGTGAGGCATGCCATGTTGACAGGGTATTCCAATTTTCCTAATTATTAAAGGTCACATGCAACGTAAAACACAACTTTGCAGATTCTGATACCTTTCGGTATGGACTTACCGAAACAAATCATCAAAAATGCAAATTCAACTTATAAAGTTGAAAAATAACGCGATGAAAAAAAACCCGCGAAATCGTAGTTCAAACGATTCACTAACTTTCAACCCAACAAAAGTACTAGAATCTGTATTTTACAAAGAAAGTGTAATCCCAAATAAAACATATGTTACACCTATCAGGCTATACACCATAAACAAAACGCATTGATTTATGGCCCTAGTTCGGTCTCTGTCACATTATGTAATTACACAGACAGGCAGGTGTGATACTTGTACACATGACATGTTATCATGTCTGTTGATTGCCAAATGTTATACACAAAAAATGAGCATGTATTTACAAAACCTAACATCTCTATATATACACACACAATGAGCCGTGAGGGGCGGCATCTGCAAATGAACCAGCCGTTACACTTGAGTGCACACCCACCCGCTCTGACTGGGTTCGGTATCCCGGCTGCTTCGTTTCTTGGAGGTAAACCCAAGTACAAAATATTGCACTTTTGATTTGCGATTGTACGCTTATAATTTTGTTTTTATGTTTTTTCATAACCAGCAATGTATATTACATGTCATGAATAAGTGATAATTGTGTTTTAATTATGTTTGATTTTTTGGTTGCATGTGACCTTTAATTATTGTAAATAAGTGTTGTTGGTTTCAGTAATCATCCTGCCCATGCTATCAGTGCAGCCTGTACAATCATAAAAATGTATTTACTTCAGAAAATATTTGCGTTTGATATTATTGCAACGTCCTAGTTAATTATTGATCTTTAAAAAATTAAAAGTGTCGTCACATGATTTTAGTGAAATCTATTGTTTGTCATGTCATTGTATTCCAGTTATTTGGACCGATGTTCATGATGTCAATCACTGGATTGTCTGGCATATAGTCGAGTACTTACACACTGCCTAGCCGTGAAGGTCCGGGTTAGAATTGATCTTCAGCAACCCATGCTTGTCGTAAGAGGCGACTAACGGGATCGGGTGGTCAGGCTCGCTCACTTGGTTAACTCTTGTCATCGGTTCCCAATTGCGCAGATCGATGCTCATGCTGTTGATCACTGATTGGATTATTTAGAGACCATCGCCATATAGCTGGAATATTGCTGAGTGCGGCGTAAAACTAAACTCACTCACTCACTACACACTGCCGTCTGTGATATGAAACCGTGCTGAGTACAACAAATAATGCATTGCACAAATTGGATACGCTTGTAGCGACCAGAACTGGGATACGACCAGAACTGGGATAAACAGTCCACAATTTCGTGAAACCCGATTTGCTGCGGTACTGCTCCCGGCTAACGCTAAAACTTAAAGCCACTGATGTGCGGAATATGATTTGCTTCTTGTTTTTTTAGAAGAAATACAAATTAACATTTACTATTTCCAGATTCATTTTCGAATATGTAACCCTAATTGTTTCTCCACTATAATTTGGAAAAAAAATCATACGCTAACGTTTTGTGAACATCAGGTGTCGCTATTGTTTTATTAATAATTTCATAAACACATCGTTCGGATATGGTCAGAAACTTACAATGGTCTTTGCTTTGGGTTTCTTGTATAGAGATACCCGTGAAGGTCCGGGTTAGAATATTGATCTTCAGTTACCCATGCTTGTCGTAAGAGGCGACTAAAGGGATCGGGTGGTCAGGCTCACTGACTTGGTTGACACATGGCGCAGATCGATGCTCATGCTGTTGATCACGGGATTGTCTGGTCCAGACTCGATTATTTACAGACCGCCGCCATATAGCTGGAATATTGCTGAGTGCGGCGTAAAACTCAACTCACTCACTCACTTTGGGCAACCGTTTTGCGAATACCTTTTCTTGTCATTATTTTATTAATAATTTCATAAACATATGCTTATGATATGGCCGGAAAGATACCATGGTCTTTGCTGTGGTCAAGGATTTCTAATGATTATGGTAAAAGGTTCTGTCATTGCCATGTCCATGAAACTATTGCAGCATATATCGATACATCTTATTTATCTGTATCGTTGGTACCATCCGCCTTTACCACCAAGCAGCTCGGGGTCGTAGTGGATGCTGGTGTTCGTAATGCGGTGGGGGGAACGCTGACTTCAGTGCATCGAGAACTTTAGACTCGATGATGTGGACCTGTTTTCTTGGTGTATAGCCATCTCTCGCAGAACGGACCACAGTCACCACGCCAGGAGTGAAGGGTTGAGTGAGAATGGTCCGGAGTTGGTTGGTGGTTTGGTCTATACCATGCATATCAACACTGTGAAATGGTATCATGGTCGAGTTTGGACCGACATAACCACGACATACCATCACACCATAATTGCGGTTGAATTCGAAAGTCCTAGGAGACTGTTGCATACATACACCAATAGTTATCAGTTCCTTGATCTGGTGTTCCGTTAAGACGAGAAGGTCATCAAGGAGATGGCCAAGAAGGAAATGTGTTGTCTCGGAAGGAAGACACATCACATGCTTCGCCTGTTCAAGTTTATCGGTGACTTTCCTGAGGATTGCACTTTTCATCACCTGTGTCTCAGTGCATACGTCACTTTCACTGTCGGGTTGACATTGCTTGAGTTCGTTGAGGAGGATCTGTAGAAGGTCATGGAAGAATTTGTCAGCCATCATTTCCTCACGAGCATTGCCAGCACAAAGAAGAGTCGCTACATTCTCTGATATGTCGCCTATTTGAGTGCTCGTCATTCTGGCGTCGTACAGAGGAATGGCTGCAGACTCGCACGCATAGAAGTCCTCATCGATGTCCAAGATGACACTGTCTTTGCTGTGATCCAAGTGCCAGTCTTTGCCAACTCAATAGCCTTTGGTATGCTGACAATCTCGACAGTTATGCTGAGGACCTTGTCCATACATTTAGATTCCGATATGTCATAGAACTCATCCGTTTCGTCATCCCCATCGTCATTTATCCATAAACACTTGTCTATCTGCAACTGGTCAGATTTTGCACAGACGCAACGTTCAAGAACATGACTCTGCTCGTGTTTCTTGCCATGTCTGTACATAACCCCCACCCTTAGTTGCATGGACATGTAAGGCTCGTCGTTGCTGTGCAGGAACCCACCGGTGTCGTAAAAAGGCCACACCCAGATGAATCGGTTGATTAGACCTGTGGCAGCGGCCATCTGGAAAGATGTTGAAAAAATGGTTTAGAATTGTTAATCGAGATCAAATTGTCAGACTGTGTTTGCGCGCTCTAATTTATCCTTTTTTATCTCTTTGATATCCCCGCGGTGGGGTAGCCTAGTAGTTAAAGCGTTTGCTCGTCACGCCGAAGACCCGGGTTCGAATCCCCACATGGGTACAATGTGTGACGCTCATTTCTGGTGTCCCCCGCCGTGATATTGCTGGAATATTGCTAAAAGCGGCGTAAAACCAAACTCACTCACTCACTCACTTTGATATCCCCGTATGAAATTGTTGACACCGCTAACCCTGCGCCGTGTTGGTTGTGGGTGTTTTGTGCATCTGTTTGTTGATGTAAGAACAGAGACGTGTGCAACAAAGGATGCTATCAGGATTCATGTTCAAAACGAATATACGCCTATTTAGAGCTCAACTCACTCACATAACACATCCCATTGAGATTTCAGGCCAAATCATTTATTGAGTTGGGTTTAACGTCAATTGAAACTGTGTTGATGTTATAAAACGCCGTTTCCGTTCGAGAGGTGCAGATCTCGGAGGTTCACCTCTTGCAGTGAACTTGGACAAAGTACTGTGACTATGCAAGAGTTGTATACTCCCAAGGGAGTTGAGATTGATAATACCATGTGCCGTTGAGATTGACATCCAATGGTCGAGGGAAAAAATACCAGCGTCTTGCGCATGCACTAGTTGCCTGGATTTGTGCGCTATATAAATATCCTATGATAATAAATAATTTTGTGGAACAAGGGGGCACAAGCAGAAACGTATTCGCGACCAATCGTGATACGGATCCACGATCACAGGTTTCTGGGACGCCAAAGGGACGCAACTCTGTACAGACAATTGAGCGCTTTGACCATTTAACCACCCGTGTTTCGTGCTCATAATAATGATACCAGTTCGTTACCATAAAGATACCAGAAAGATTATGTTATGTACTTGGATGAAGACGTCGTTTCTTTCCATCATTCTCTTCACATCCATCTGGCTTATAGGCAACCGGAACAGAGGCGCATTTTTCCACGATACGGGGTAGCCGAGGTCTGAATGGCCATCTATATGCAGCTGTCGGTGAGAGAAACATGGACTGAGTGAAAGACAGTACACAGCAACAGCATTAGTTAATACAAATGTTTGAGGGTAGATGGTCGGTTGAATAAAATTAAGGGTGTCAATTCCCCTTTCCTGAATCCCGAATATCATCAGTTTTCACTCTGAGGCTCAATGCGCAGCCCCATTTGTGGTGTCCCCCGCCGTGATATTGCTGGAATATTGCTTAAAGCGGTGTAAAACTGAACTCATTCACTCACTCAATGCTCAGCCCTCAATCCCAAATGTTATTAAAAGAAATCTGAAAAGATCATGTCACAGATGCAAATGTCAAATCATGGGCCTGAGTAATATTAGGATGGAATTTGAAGTTATCTTACTGAAATAATATCGAAAGGAATAGAAATATAATTGAAAATGTTACGTGCAGAATTTATTGCTTTGGTAAATGCTGAGTGAGTGAGTGAGTGAGTGAGTGAGTTTGGCTTTACGCCGCTTTTAGCAATATTCCAGCAATATCACGGCGGAGGACACCAGAAATGGGCTTCACACATTGTACCCATGTAGGGATTCGAACCCGGGTCTTCGGCGTGACGAGCGGACGCTTTAACCACTAGGCTACCCCACCGCCCCGGTAAATGCTGAACCTACACCCGTGTAGATCCGGGTTAGAATTGATCTTCAGTAACCGATGGTCGTATGGGGCGACCTGTCGTATGGGTGGTCAGGCTCACTGACTTGGTTGACACATGTCATCGCTTCCCAAATGCGCAGATCGATGCTCATGCTGTTGATCACTGGATTGTCTAGTTCGGATTATTTACAGACCGCCGCCATATAGCTGGAATATTGCTCAATGTGGCGTTATACAACAAACCAAACCAAATCCAAAAACTGAACCTGCCTACCAAATACGAATTAATGTGCGGCCATCGTTGCATAAGGATAAGTTTCGAATACTAACACACCATAAATATACCCTTGAATTCCATGTACCAAAAATAGGTTAAAAGCCCCAAATCTGCCACAACTGCCAAAACGCCACCACCCACAGCGTGTTGGTGTACGGCGGAAGGGAGGAGTAGTTCTTTTGGTCATTATTTTGGTTATTATTTTTGTTAACGTCACATTGGGATGTATTCGATTCATATGACGACTGTATTTAAATATCCAATCTGGAACATATAAACTAGTGATTGATATTATGCGCAACGATGCCGTGGAGGGGCGGTGGGGTGGCCGAGCGTTTGTTCGTGACGCCGAAGGCTCGGGTTCGATTCCTCACATGGGTACAATGTGTGAAGACCATTTTCGGAGTCCCCCACCGTGATGTAGCTTGAATGTTGGTAAAAGCGGCGTAAAACTAAATTCACTCACTCACCTATGCCATCGAGGTACGATAACACCTATCAATCATATCACTTAACCTGACCACTTGATACATCATGTGACCTCTTTTGACTAGTATCGATTGGTGGCCAATTTCAAAGCATGCTTTCTGGGATGCGGTTGTTAGTAATAGTTCTGTGTGAAGTATTGTATCTATTGTAAGTCTCTCCAACAACGGGGCGGTGAGGTAGCCTAGAGGTCAAAGCGTTCGCTCGTCACGCCGATGTCCCGGGTTCGATTCCCCACATGGGTACAATGTGTAAAGCCCATTTCTGGTGTCCCCGCAGTGATATTGCTGGAATTTTGTTAACAGCGGCGTAAAACTAAACTCATTCGCTTACTCACTCTCAAACAACGCTAACGTCAGTGTACGCTGACGGATGGCAGACATGGATACACCACTGAGGTGAGGTGAGATGGGCTTTGACGTTTAACATGGACACTCCACTGAGACAGAGTGTAGTCAGGCGTCAGGCAGGGTAAAAACAAGCATCATCATCGAACCACCAAACTACCCTCTCCGGCCAGACGCACTACCCACTAGGCCACGGAAAGCGTTCATGTGAATGTGAGAACTGATTAGAAATAGAAATAAATATCCACTTAACGTTACAGTCACAAGAATAAACCTATCCATTTGTATGAAATCCTGGAAGGGACATTGTCGCGTTGTCGCCCTCTCAAATACAAGTAAAATGAGGCAAAATTAACCAAAACGCGACAGTTTGCCCATTTGTCGCATTGTCGCGATGTCGCGTGTCGCGTTTTGAATAAAAAAATTCTTTATTCCTTCAAAGGGCGACATAGCGACAATTTTCAAGGTCAAAATATGTCGCGTTGTTCGCCCTATGTAAGATGTGTAAAAACAGCCTAAAAAATTACTAAAACGCGACACGCGACAATGCGACAACGCGACATTTTGATGAAATGTCGCTATGTCGCATTGTCGCGTGTCGCGCTTTGTTAAAATATTGAGTATAGTATGTATTATAACATATGACTAAAACGGGACACGCGACAATGTCCCTTCTCGTATTCCATACATTTGGCTTCAGGAAGCATGGCAATAGATTTCTCCATTGATTTAGTTACGGACTTAAAGAATCATCGGATATGATCCAAAAGCAGTAATTTACGTTTCCGGTAGATTGTTAATGAAACTATATCCCATGAACAAATATTTTCAGATTGTGTGAAGGAATGGAATTTTCTCCTTTCGTGTTTTTGTTAATGACATGAAGGCCTTCTGCAGGAAGACTTAGTTATCTTCACAAACCCTCCCATGAAAGGAATCACAATTGGATACAAGCTGTATATGCTAAGTCTGAGTCTACCAGAACGTTGCCCTTTTGCTTGATGACACCACTCGCCGCGGCCGAGAACCAGTACAGGAGTGCTGCAACAGACAATTGACAACTACAACAGACAATTGACAGCTACAACAGACAATTGACAGCTACAACAGACAATTAAAAGTGACAACTGACAGCTACAAGTGACAATTGACAACTACAACAGACAACTGACAACTACAACAGACAATTGACAACTACAACAGACAATTGACAACTACAACATACAATTGACAACTACAACAGACAATTGACAACTACAACATACAATTGACAACTACAACAGACAATTGACAGCTACAATAGACAAATGAACCCTGCAAAAGACATATGACAGATGCAGCAGACAAACGGCATCTACAGCTGTAACAGGTAACACACATACATCCCTCCACCACAGACGTTCTTACACACCTTCAAAAAGACAAACACCGCCCTGCACCACCATCGGTCTGCCACAACACCTTCTCCAAGAACCACATCCTTTATTCACTAAAGTACATCTCCCTGAGACACCAACTGGTGCCTATCCGCTACAGCATAGTATCTTACCCTCATGGTGTTCCTCCATGACGTTGACGACGCCGGCCTCTCGGAGAATGAGGGGATCATCCTTTTTTCTCACCTCTGCCCTTCTTTCATGCGGCCCGAATCTAATGAACAACAGCACCACTGCTACAACCCAGCCCGTGATGGCAACGATCTTAACACGTTGTATCCTCATGTCCACCGACTTTCTTCTTCACCTGTGTACAGAGATGTACGCGTTGTAGTTTAATACTCACGGTGCTTTTATAGGGATTTTCAATGAATAATCTAAGCCCTAAAATCAAAGTGATACTTACGTGT